CAAGATTCAATTTTAACGGCGCATTGTGTCATTCAGATCCAGGCAGAAGATTATGGAGGTGGAATATCCATGCCGTACTATGGTCATGTTCGCCCTTCGGCGGATTATTTCAACAGCAATCTCATTTTGCAGAACTTTGTAGTGGCAGACATCAGCAATGGTGTCAACAACGTGTATTTCTATGACGAGCGAGCGCAAGGAAAATATGCTAATGCGCTATGTAGCTTACGCTTGAACTACCCTCTTTCAATTATATCACGGGCTAAGCACAACGAGGTCGCACCTCCTGAAGTGAGCTTCAGTACATTGGACAATTGTGTGGGGCAGAACAAATCGAAAGCAGTTTTAATGTTCTTCGCATTTCGTTCGGTGGTATTTCCCTACAAGAAAGTAGTGCTTTGTTATTTACTACCTGGACACTCTCACAATATTGCTGACCGCGTTATTGCTTGGTGTCGACGGGCAACTCGAGGATTGAACTTATATACACCAAAAAAATTGATTAAAGAGGTGAACAAGGTGAAAAGGGGTGTGTTTTTAGATCACACTGATGCCAATCGACCATTCTATGTGGGCTGGAACGAGTTGTTGAGCAAATACTTTATCCCACCGCCTGGGGATTACACCTCAAACTACCTTTTTGAGATTGATTGTGGAGTTTGTACTGCTCGTAGTACAGCAGGAACGTCGGATGAAAACTCTATTTCTTTCTCGATGGTTGCCCCTGGAAACATTGGAGCTGTTCGAAAAGCTGTTCTGGCGGATCTATTCGGCCCCACGGTCAAGACAATTTTTAAGCGTCTCTTTCATCCATGCGACTCCCTCGCCACCCTGTCAAGGAGCTATCAGCGAGCAAGTTAAAATCACTATCAGCTAAATAATTCTCCATTCCCTCTCAGCACTTGCACTATTATCCAAACGTACCAGAGTCATTACAGAATGTCAAGGCCACGTCCAGTGACACCAACAGTAGCAACAAGAAGAAGAAGTTGAAAAAAAAGACAAGCACTTCAGCAAAGCCACGCAGTAACCAACCTTCCATCTTGCAGCTCTTCACGTCACACACAAAACAAGTACTTCAAGTTCAGTCATACTAATTTCAAATCAACTTAAAAAAGATACCGGTTTCTGATGGGGATACCGGGGTCCCACCGGGACCCCGGGGTCCCGCCAAACGTTTCATATTTAGAATTTGTAAGGATGGTTGCAGCTGCGCCTTTACAATGCGCGCAAAATGTGGAGCAACTACACTCTCTGTACGCGAAAATGCGCGTAAGGCACATGTTTGTAACACATCAGGCACTGTCTATTACTGATTTTTTAAATTCTGAATGAAAACACTTGTAATACTTTCGTGACATAAGGGCGCCTGGTGCGCCCTTTAAGTATTTTTGCAAAACTGAGACCGGATCAGGTCGTCAAAGGGCGTCTGGTGCTAAAGCTCAGCTGATTCTGCTCCGTCTAAGAAACAAACGACTAACTGTGCGATTCGTATCATTCAGCATACTTTAATTAAGATGTATTCCTCCATCATGATGTATCATCAATGCATTTTCAACGATTTGCTACAAGAGATGGTACCAAGCATACGTTGGAAGACTTCCTTCAGTTCTGTTGGAGGGATGATTTGCGCAGAGTTGTTAGGGCAGTACAGTACGGAGTGAGGACAAAAGTAGAGTGGTCTAGGCGGCCATAGTGGAGAAAAGTCTTGAGTGTAGAAGGAGAAGACGCTTGTGGTGGACTTGGTAAAAGAAGAAGTCACTTGTGTTGGACTTGGTAAAAGAAGAAGTGATGAATTATAGAGTCTGGTGTTATGGAGGGGAGTTACTCTCCACCAACCAGTCCAGTTATTTACGATTTCTCTATATGAAATAGCACAATTATATTCCACTAGATAGTCATCATCACATCGGAGATGCTTACTTCAACAGCCTCCCACATCGAGGAATGTGTATGATGCTCTATCTGTCGGGTAGTATTTAATGTACCACAGGTGGCTGTTTATAACAGTCCTGTACGTACATGAGCATTTACAAAAAGTAGATCTTGTTTTGATATTGATGATCTTTTTCCCTTGACTTTCATTGTCAGATTTGTCATCTTGTGCCGTGTTGCTTTGGCAGGGACTGTGCTGATTTCTTGTTTTCATTGTTATTTTGGCTACTCAGGAAAACCTTAGAGGATTAAGCCTGTTCCGTTGTGATTGTTGTTATTATCGTTTTAGTTATACGAATTTGTAGCAGCTACTTCAGGGAAACCTTTAATTTTAAGGATCAAAACCTGTTCGCTGAATTGTTGCTGTTATCGTTTTAGTTTTACGAATTCGTAGAAGCTACCTCAGGAAAACCTTTAATTTTAAGGATCAAAACCTGTTCGCTCTGTTGTTGGCTACTCAGGAAACCTTTAAGGATACACCTGTTCGCCGTGTTTATCTTTATATATTTTGTGTAAGCGGTTTAGCTTTGTTCATTTTCTTAAGCTGCCATTGTTTTTGCTCTTTCATATGTGGATATTTCTGTTACAATGTGTGGTTTGGTCTTTGTTTTTTCTTTTCCATGGCTGAGGGCTTTATAGAATTGCGCTCCCCAATTTCATGGAAGGGGTGGAAATAGGGTGTTGAAGCCATTTTTCAAGTTGTCCTGACTATTGTTATTGAGAGCTTATAGCTCTAAAATAGTTTTGAAGAAAGGCTACAGCTTTTAAAAGCATAAATAACATCAAACAGTGTCATCGGCAGCGTACGCATCATATTTGCAGTAAGTGCGCAGGCTCTCGTCGTTGGGGTTATTTTTCTCCCTAGAGGCTCATCGAGTTGTTTCTCGTTTGGAAGTTTATAATTTTATTTTACTTTGCAAGCGCTAGCGATAGATTTGCAACTATCGAATTCATTGTAGATGAAATTAATGCAGTAAAACTATAGTTTGCTTTCTGTAGACAGAGGCTTTTGTAGGCTTGTCTTGTAGTCATAAAGTGCTGAATATTTTTTTTTATTCGTTCTTTTGGTACTGTTATGGAAATGTTTGAAACTTTTGCCAGTGACAATAAATGTTAAAGTTTGGCGAATACATGAATAGTTTTTGGCATTGATGCCTCCGAGTTTCATACATTTCTTTAAGTATTTCTCTCTCAGCGTTTTTTTTTTTTTTTTTTTTCGTACAAGCTAGGCAGTCTTTGTGAAATTTGCAGCAAATTGCATATTTGTTTTTGCTCATTATATTTCTTTTGTGAATGTAACATAAATATGTTTTGAGCAGCTAGGTAGCAATGCTTGCACCAAAGCAATATTCTCAGTAGGAACACACTTCACCCACATTTTACCTATTATAGCTCACATCTTTGGGGCATTTTTCTCCCTAGTGGCTCTTCGGATTGTATTCCGGATTTTATTATACTTCGGAGTAGCGAGAAGCAGAA